GGTCCTAGGAGAGGGCAGCAGGATGGGAGCTTGAGCTTGCAGTGGGCAACTTGCATGCGCCTTTGCCCCACACACAGATCTGGGGTGCATGGGTCCCCCTGCCTCCCCAGAAGTGCGTGCAGCAGTCAGGAGCCATCCCTGCCCAAGCCTGCAGCAGGCAGGAAGGGTGGGAGGAGCCAGGCTGCACTCTGCTGCAGCAGCCTCTGCCTCTTGTGGGGGACAGGGAGGCTGCAGACTCAGGTCTCAAACCCCATAGCCATGGCAGCTGGGGGCCCCCTCTAGCAGGGCTGGGGGGACCAGGGGGCTGTGGGGAGGGGTACCAGCAAGGCTGTGGAGGCTGGCAGGGGTGGGGGGAGAGTGAAAGACACAAGCAGGGCCAGTTTGCTGTGGGGAGGGGGAGGCATGAGCAGGCCCGGGGGGCTGTGAAAGGGGAGTGAGGGGCACCAGCAGGGCTGGTGGCTTGGGAGTAAGGGCCCTGGACTTACATTCCGGTAAGTGAAGTGGGCAGGGGGAGCTCTGATTTTTCCGTGATAAACCAAAAATCAAATGCCAAAATGTATAGGTATTTAGAATTTATTTTTTATAGTGATTGAGGCTTCCAAATTGCTTTAAAAATCTAAATATATAAAGAAAACTTTGTGTTCAACTGATTTGAGAGAGAGAGAGAGACCATCTCAGTCTCGGTCTAGTGGCCTTTCATTTTAATCACAGATTTTGGTGTTTTTATAAGAGAATTTGCAATATTTTTTTTAGTAGGGAAAACCAGGATCCCTGCTTATTAGGCACCTGTGAGTAGGGAACTAGTAACGCTTTCTATTCCCAAAGCAAGGATTGAAGATCTTTTTGTGTTTTGTGACTCAATTTTTCTTAGCATCCAGATCAACCAAAGAGCCAAAAAAGTTAACTTTTGTTTTTAACTTAGAAGGGTCTGATATAAACTATAAAACTGCAGCAAGGTAGCATGTCTATCAACAAGCCTGCAGTCTTGTCTCAGCTAACAGGAGGCTACCCTTTGCAGGAAATTATGCCAAAGAATAGTTATGGCTTCAATATTTTTTTAATTGAAGAATTGTGAATAGCTAATTAGTGACAGTTCAACTACTATTCGATTAGGGGATAGCTATAATTTACTCATCATCTGTTTAATTCTTCTGTCAAGTGTCAGTTTTGTAAATAGAAATTACAGTCTAATACATTCTCACAAAACACTTGAAAAGGTCATTAGGTATTTTTGTTACAAGAAGGGAGAGTTAAGTAGTGATGAAAAAAAAAGGTTAATTGTAGCAATTATATTTTCTCTCTCTCCCCCAGTTTGTCATAATCTGTAGTTTAAGTAGTACTAGGGTTTTCTGAATTGGAGCAATATAGCAGAAATTAAGAAAAAAAAGTTCTCTTAATCCTATTTTGTTTAAAAACAAAGTATGTAGAAGAGTCAGTTTAAGAGGCTTCTACAAATATTTCTGTGGGTTTTTTTGCATCTCAAAGGACTCCAATCTCTCCTCCTTTCCTAAGTAATCTTTAGGACAACCCTTGTCTTTGTTGATGGCAGACAGCATTGATAAGTAATCCCTGAACGCAAGGGTCTCTATGTTTGAAACATGACTTTGCAATTGATGTAGTTACTCTTCTGCATTTTTTACCATTTCAAAAAAACAAAGAGTTCCGTGTTGAATTCTTTGCATACAGAACTTGATTTGGCAATAAATAAATCTACTTGGAGTCCACAGAGCAAAATGGGAGAAATATGATCAAAGTAAAGCCTTGGTTAATTTTAGGGAAGCTCTAGATACTGGTTGGACAAAGACTATTTGCAACCTTGAATGCAAGGTAAAAAAATTGTATCTGATCCCTTGGATTATTTAAAAAAAAAATAATGGAGAAGGAAACTACTTCTAGTGTGAACATTACTAAATTCTCATACCAACATGTTACTGTCTGCACAGGGTACTCTGAAGATAGCATTATAGCTGTTACAACGAAGGGGTTATATTCACAACAGGTTGTTTCAAGAGAATTTATATGTATTCATTTAGGCAATAAAGCTGAACGATAAAATTGCTTGGCACAAGGTTAGAAATGTATTTTTGAAACTAGATGACAAAGATAAGCATGTAATGTACTTGCATACAATAAGTCTGTGTG